TTGGAAGGAAGAATTCTTCGGAAGATTCCCATATTTCATTCTGTTTTGCGCTCTCCACTGTTTTCTCTACTGCTTTTTTAAGAGAATTTTTCATAGTCGTCTTTGTTGTTTTTTTACACTTTTGTTGTTCGCTGCGCTATCTTCGGCCGGTTGTTTTGTTTACAGCTGATGGCTCTGTCACTCTGCTGTCAGCTAATCTTTGTTGCTTTTTTCTTCGTGTCCTGTGCATAGATACTACCAGTCTTCTCATTTTTTTTGTCGTACAAAATTCCCTATTTTTTTTAAAATTGAAAGCCGCTTTCCGCTGTTGATTGATAAAAACTGCCGGCTTATTGATTTGGAACGCATTTCTGTTTCGGCTAAAGGCCGAATTTTCTATGACTTTTCCTCGGAGCATTAACTAATGCTCTGCATTGGGGGTTGTTGTCGGATCTGGATTCAATCATCTTTTCGATTCTCGAGCCAATAGCTTTTACATACAGAAGGCAATTATTTTTGTAGAATGAATGCAAATGCTCATCTAGCAAACACCCCCATGTGATAAAGCATTCGTCTAATATCAGCATCAAAGCTTAGGACTATTGCTGTTCATAGCTTTCACATGTTGAACTCCTAAGATCTCTTTGAAGTGGTTTTTTCTTTCATCTCTGTTCAGCGTGTCTGCACCGAAACAATCTGACTTCGACATGTGGCCTATCGCTGAACCCGAAAGAGTGCAGCCATCGATCTAGAAAAACGGAAAGCGGAAGCATTTTTTTTTTGCAAGTACGCTCTGTGTTAACCATACAGGATGGCCGATTTTTTGCGCAAGAATGTAAAATGACCGAAGGCTCGCGCTTGCGCTTGAAATCGATTCGAAGAATTTGGCTACGGCTCCCAAAAAGACGAAATGAAAGAAAGGCATCGTGGCCATTCCCGAAACTTTGCGACATGCAGTATCACTAGCTGGTTTATTTCATCCATGGTTTCTTTACTAAATACGGCTTCTTTTAACATATAGCTTTAGCGCTATAGATCTGAAATTCCTTTCTGTTTGCTCTTTTCCCTTGGCTTGCCTCGGATAATGGCTTCGAGATTCTTAAGCCCAACTTCCTCAAAAGTACTCCGATAACCTGTTACCAACTGCACACCTTTTGTAAGCATCACTGTAAAACTTCCTCTGGTTCGTGGCAACCCACTACCGATAGCTGTAACAGGTTTTACTAGTCCATGTACTTCGGTATCACATTGCTGTGATGCACATTACATCTCCTCATCTGGAACTGGATGAGTATCACAGCAATGTGATGATTGAAGTGCTTGAACTAGTAAAACTCACCACAGCACTGGCACCTTGGGCACTGATGCGAGCTCTGAGGAAAACTGTTGCTCCGGAATTGTCGCTGTTCCTGCTCTTGTTTTGGCTTCCACAATTCTTGTTCCCACTTCAGATTTCTTTCAGATTACTGATTTTTTCATCTTTATTCGTTACTGATTACTGATTCTTCACTGTCTATGATTACTGATTACAGATTACTGGTCACTATTAATAATTGATCTTCATCCCTTTTCCTCGACCTCTTTATCCCCATTTGTCTTATACCGCAAAAAAATTCGAAAATAAATGAGTTCATTTCTTACTTCAAAATTCGACACGAAATTCGGTCTCCGCATCCACCAATGAAAACA